ATCCCCCCAACATCTGTCAGAGTTCCCCCCTTAATCTGCTGGTCCCTTCAGGATCCACAGCGCTCAGAAATGAACCCAAACGAAGAAGTTAGAGTTAGAGGTTAGAAGAGCTCCCGTTCCTCAGTTCCAAGCACGATGACATCACCACAGGAAGTCAAACCTCCTGAATACATTCTTAAATTCCTTGATCATATCCGTCCTCTAATTTTTAAAGATAGCTAACTAAAATAGAGCCAAGCAGGCAATAAGTCCTTAACAAGAACAAGTAATATGACCTGAATCAATAGTTTGATGGGATAAGAGAGACTTTAACATTTTTATCTCCCATTATGGTGCTAATCTGGATTACAGCTGGACTTCCATACCAGCTATTTACATTGAACTATAGTTCCTATTGACACAAGTGAGAATTATACTTTCAGTTCAAATAATAGTTATAATGAGGTGCAAAAATAAAATCTTCACATCAAACTTGTGATTTTATATGTATTTTATATCTGTAATAACTTAATGAAAACTGTGTATCCCTGATTTTGTTTTGTCTCTCTGAACCTTTTATCTTGTATATCATATGTTCTGAAGATAAAGCATGAGGAAAGATTTTAAATGTCCTTGTAAAGCCTGAAGGTTTAAAATAACATCTAAAAAATCCTTCAAAATAAATTGCTGTCCTGTAAGTCACACTTCATTTGTCTTATTAAAGTGAGACCTATATGAGAAGGAGTCTAGCCTTACAATATTACAAGCCTACATAGAGAGATTCTCAAACTAGGCAAGTAGTCTCAAATGTTACAGGCGACAGAAAAATGCCATTTTTCCTCTTTCTAGAGGATTGAAAATAAAATATGCTCAAGAAAAGATTTTCATTTCTATTTTTTTATGGTGGAAAATACACTGGCAAAAGTTAGTTTTCTGACAATTTTGTAGTTACAAAATATCTCCAGAAAAAAATTGAATGGCAAAATCCTAATATAATATGAGTGATGTCAGATCCATAAAGAAGGTACACTATCTAAATATTATAATCATTTAACAACCTCAGAGTAAAGTAGAGTTTAATTATGTAAGAGCATAATGAACAATTAATAAAAGTGTAGCAACATCAATTTACATTAGAAACTAAAATGGGTTAGAAAAGGTTATAAAACTCACCACTTCTTCATGCCTGCATTTTCTTACATTAATTCCATTAATCTGTTGAGGAAGAAATAATAATTTGAGGAAAGGGTCCTCTACTCTGCATAGAAGAAGAATAAATAAATAAGATTTGACTAAAAGACAACTTGTTTACCTACCTGTAGAATTGCATCTCCTATGAACAGTAGGCCTGAGAGTTCCGCTGAAAGGAAGGAAGGAAGGAAGGACATTTTACATTTCAGTCTTCTCTATAATTTTCCAATGACAACATCAGTGGGCAATATATAAATAAAACAATGAAAAATAATTGAAAAATAAACTGCAGGTTTATCCCGACCTAAATAGTGCCTTAACTGATTTCCCTAAAAACCTAAAAGAAAAATCTTAGCATATGTGTTCACAAACTTAAAAAAAAAAAAACACTTCACAGAGAATAAAAAGCAGACTGTCTCCAGTTATCTCTGATCAACCTACAAATCTACAAAGACTTTAGATGGCCCACATCCAAGCAATTAAACAATGTGTGATCTGATGAGATCCAGGTGTTTGTCTAGTTCATTTTCAGGAGCTGGATCAGCATATAGGTGAGGGGGTGGGGGAACCCCTGCAGGGAAGAGCTGAGGAATTTGTTCAGTTTCTGTCGGATAAAATCACTCAGCTTCGGACAGACCTTGACTCCGCTTGGGCAATACCAGCCGAGATGCCGAGGGTAAGTCTAAGTCGGATTTCCTGGGATGAGTTCGAATTTGTCACCCCTGAGGAAGTGGACAAGGCCATGGGAGCGATGAGCACCTCCACCTGTTTACTGGACCCGTGCCCCTCCTGGCTGGTTTCGACCAGCAGGGAGGTGACACGCGGCTGGCTCCAGGCGATTACCAATGCTTCTTTGCAGGAGGGGTCTTTTCCGCAACCATTAAAGGAAGCAGTGGTAAGATCCCTCCTCAAGAAGCCTTCCCTGGATCCAGCCGTCTTGAAAATTACCGTCCTGTCTCCAACCTTCCTTTTTTGGGGAAGATTGTTGAGAAGGTGGTGGCGCTTCAACTCCGACAGACCTTGAATGAAGCGGATTATCTGGATTCCTTTCAGTCTGGTTTCAAGCCTGGGTACAGCACAGAAACCGCTTTGGTCGCACTGATTAATGATCTCTGGAGGGCATTCCTCTATCCTGGTGCTTCTCGACCTCTCAGTGGCTTTCGATACCATCAACCATGGTATCCTTCTGCGACGTCTGGAGGAGGTAGGAGTGGGATGCACCGTTTTACGGTGGTTCTCCTCTTACCTCTCCGGTAGGTCGCAGTCGGTGTTGGTCGGGGAACAGAGGTCGACCCCTAGGCCCCCCTCCTATTTAACATCTACATGAAACCACTGGGTGAGATCATACGACGGCACGGGATAAAATACCATCAATATGCAGATGATACGCAATTGTATCTATCTGCCCCGTGCCAGCTCAGTGTAGTGACGGACGTGATGTGCCAATGCCTGGAAGCTGTCAGGATCTGGATGGGGATGAACAAATTGGTGCTCAATCCCGATAAGACCGAGTGGCTTTGGATGTTACCCCCGAAGAACAGTTCAGACAGTCCGTTCTTGATCCTGGGGGGTGAAGACTTACACCCCTCAGAGAGGGCCCGCAATTTGGGGTTCCTCCTGGATTCACAGCTGACAATGGAACACCATCTGTCAGCTATGACCAGGGGGGCCTTTTCCCAGGTTCGTCTGGTACACCAATTGCGGCCCTACTTGGACCGGGGGGCACTTCAAACGGTCACTCACGCCCTTGTCACCTCAAGGCTGGATTATTGCAATGCGCTCTACATGGGGCTACCCTTGAAAAGCATTCGGAGACTACAGCTTTTGGGTGTACCGAGCGATTTTGGGTGTACCGAGATACACCCATATTACACTTGTCCTCCGCGAGTGGCACTGGCTGCCAATTGGTCTCCGGACGCAATTCAAGGTGTTGGTTATTACCTTTAAAGCCCTACATGGCTCAGGACCAGTGTATCTACGAGACCGCCTACTGCCACACACATCCCAACGGCCGATAAGATCTCACGGGGTGGGCCTCCTTCGGATGCCGTCAGCCGGACAATGTCGGCTGGCGGGCCCCCGGAGGAGAGCCTTCTCTGTGGCTGCTCTGACCCTGTGGAACCAGCTATCCCCAGAGGTCCGGACCTTACCCACTCTCATGGCCTTCAGAAAAGCTGTTAAAACCTGGCTGTTCCGGCAGGCCTGGGGCTGCTGACCTTATTGTTAAGGTCCAGCCCCGATCAGAAATGTATGCGTGTTGGGAATTTTTAAATTATTCTTTTATTTTGCTTTTCTTTTTTTTCTTTTTTCTTTCTTTGTAAGCCGCCCGGAATCCTCCGGGATTGGGCAGCCTAGAAATTTAACAAACAAACAAACAAACAAACAAACAAACAAACAAATATTATATAGACACGGTGTAATTTTATGAAGTGCATGTTTTGCTCTTGATTGGTCTATGCCTGTAATGGCGAACCTATGACACATGTGCCAGAATTGGCACACAGCGCCCTCTCTGTGGGCACACCAGCAATTGCCCCAGTTCAGCTCTGCCACACATGCATGCATGCCTCCTGCCAGCCAGCTGACCTTCAGGGTTTCTGCTGCACATGCGTGGGGGTTGGAAGGCCCACATGAGGCATGCGTGGGGGTGGCAGGGTATGTGCAGGGGCCCTGCATGGGAATGCATGGGGGCACTTGCAGGGTGTGTGGCATGTGGGGGGGCACACACACATTGCATTTTGGGGGTTCGGGCAATGCTGTTTAGGCACTCGGTCTGAAAAAGGTTAGCCATTACTGGTCTGTTATACTTTTATTGTTGTTGTTGTTTTTAATACTACTGTTTTTAGTCTTTGTTAGTATTCTGAGTCACTTAGTGAGTAGTGAACATTGAAAATATTGTGCTCACATTTATAATGATTTCCCTCTCCAAAAAATCAGGCTGTGAATCAAGAAATAAAAATAAAAGAAGAAAGAAACACATAGTTAATTTTATTACAGAAACTGAGAAATAACTTACTTCGTTGTTCTTTGGAAATTTTAGAAACCACCACAGGAATATTATGCTCTGCTCCTCCCTATAAAATAAAGAGATCATACTTCATTGAGTCTACTGTTAACTTATAAATATTCTATTACTACATTTCTATAGCTTTAGCTTCTTTTTTGAAAATTCAAAATGAGTAAAATAACTGTTTCATCATTCTTTTTGCTAATGACCGCATGGATACAATCAATCCTTTTGTAAAGGGGAAAAAATGCTGGCAATATCATGATAGTCTGCATACAGAAAAAAGAAGAAATTATTGACAAAGGAATACAAATTCATTGTAGCTTTTCCTAGATTTCTCATATTATGGCATCAAATCCACTTCATAAAAATGAAATGGGCCTAATTCTGAAACAGGGATGAGTATTTTCTTGTCTGGCTGGCAAAAAGAAAATACAAACAAAAGCATGCAATTGAAGGATGAATGGAATGTAAAGTTTCCCCTGGTTTCTTTTGATTTTCTATTTTCCATTCTTACGTTCACAAAAGTCAGTAAGAAAATTAATAGAAAATCAGGCACAAAATAAAATAAGAGTTCAAAGATAGTTTAGAAATTACTGTTTTACATTGTGGGGATAACAATGTTTTACCCCACATTGAGTGGTTAAAAAAAATGAAAAGCCAAATAAATTGAAGGTACATTTTTCTATTTTTTTAAACAGTCCATTGATTCATGTTGCCAAGGAAGAAAAGAAGGAAGAAAGCTTTGAAAGTATACATTATTTTTTAAACAGTCCTATTTGGCTTTTCCATACCAAAATTCACTATTCAAGCATTATAATCTTTGGAGTTATTAAAAAAAGTTTTATCTCAATATTTATTGGAAATTTTGAGATTTTTTAATGTGTAAAAATAAAGCTATTCTATGTGCATTGCATGCAATATGTAATCAAACCTACAATCAATAGTCATGGGAATTTCTTTGTGCTAGAGATAGCTCTGAAAATTAATACTATTTACCACTTTAAAAATAACAGATTTAGAAGCTGGTATAGTTTGATTGAACCAATTTTGATAACAAAGAATCTTAAAATGATAGTGTGAGTTAAGCAGAACCTCAAAGCAACAATCGAGACAGCAATAAATGAACTGTTTCTAAATTTTAAAAAGGTAGATTTTGATGGAGACTTTCAGAGAAAGAGTCACTGAGGTAATTCTGAAGCCAGGAAGAAGATAATGCATCTCTGGGGATTGGGGAAAGTGATTCGGAGGCTTGAGAGGAAGAAGAAGGGAGAAGCTAATGAGATAAACCCATTCAGTCATTTTTCTACATTCAATGTGACATAAAAAGATCTAAAAACAGCTCCTAAGAGACGCGGTGGAGCAGTAGTAGAGTGCAGTACTGCAGGCTACTTCTGCTGACAGCCGGCTGCTTGCAATTGGGCAGATCGAATCTCACCAGGCTCAAGGTTGACTCAGCCTTCCATCCTTTTGAAGTCAGTAAACTGGGGACCCAAATTGTTGGGAGCAATAGGCTGTAAACTTTGTAAACCACTTAGAGGGGGCTGTAAAAGCAGTGTGAAGTGGTATATAAGTCAAAGTGCTATTGCTATTGCTCCCTATTTATGATTATAGTAATGGTATAAATGAAGATATGATTAAAGTGCTGTCATCTGTACAAAGAAGCCTTATTATTATCATGTGCACTGGAACTCTAATGATAAAAGCACACATCCATACACAAAAGCTCTCTGCTGCAGAGAATAACCCTCAATGCATGGAGACCAGCTCGTTGTGATGTCACTAGTGTGATTGTCTCACATGGAATGCAGACAAAAGAAAAGGAGCCGCTTGCTATTCCTTGTTGTTCAGTTAAACAAACAAATGTAAAAAAAATAAGTCTTCAGATCATGGCCTGTTCCAAAGAGTGACAAGGATAAAACAAAGCTTTTGCATCAGACCCTTAGCTGCGTTTTTGAGATAGTCAGCTATTCATATCACAAGTTTAGGTTTGGAAAATATAATGGTGGAAAATAATTAGAAGAAAAGAAGCAGAAACAAGGCAACTAAAAAGTTAATTTCCTAATTTGCTAAAAACATCCATAAATATTGAACTTTTGACTGAAACTTTTAGTAAAGAAAGATGACTATCAAAAGCATAAGAGAACAAACTATTAATACATTGTCTATTTCAGGCTTTATGCAATTATTTCAGGGGAGAATACATTCATGATTTATATTTATCTCTCACTGCATGAAAGGACAGTAAAATGCAATTTTGGGCAGCACTCTGTTTTGTTACATACTTTTATATATAATAATGGAATAAGGAAGTGCCCATTGCCTTATCTTTCAGTCTGTATTCTCAACATATTTTTCTATCTTATCATCATAAGATAATTGAATAATTTAATATAATTACCATAACTACAGCAAAATTGTTAATACCAAAATAATATTTTATGTTTTATTAACAAGGAAGTTTGGAAGAATGCAGAATTGTAGATTTATTCATTGGTTGTAATGTGACAGCTATTTTAACTCAGCTTTTATTAAGACCCATTTTAAATGCCATTTAAGACCACAATTCGAATGACTACAGTATTCTAAAAGTAAATAATAAAAGCTTTTATAATACACTGAATGGACAAAGAAGAATACAACTTATGTATGGCAACTTATTGATCTTATTAAACATATTCCCTAAAATATAAAATCCATGCTTCATACAAACAGACAGACAGACAGACACACACACACACAGCAATAGGAAGAATATCATACTACCTTTATACTTAATCCAAATCCTCCTACAGTTTGTCTTCTAATTGTTACAGTTCTTTCCTGAAAATAAATCAGATTTAAACATTTCCTTAAAAACAACACAATCACACTGCATTATTTCTTTTTGGCTTTGCTATATAACCATTATCGAGTTTTGAATTTCATATATGTATTGTCATATAAAATTGCAGAATACATGAAAGTGCACTTTCATGTATTCTGCAATAGCCACAAGACCTGCCATGCTTATATCATTCCAGCATCTTGCACTCTGCAGCAACCAGCTCTGTCTCCATCCAGATGTGACACACTGGACTCTACCACACCCTGCAGCAGCCACCCCAAGCTTCACTATGTTTGCACTGTGCCACTTGGCCACTCTCACACCTTCCTGCAGCCAGCAGCAGCTACTTACTTGCCCACCAGCCTGCTTGGCCATCACCACTGCTTGTGAGCAGGCTGGAAGTTTTAATTTCCTACCAGCTTCCCACTGACTTTGCTTGTTGGAAGTCAGTAGGAAATTTCCAGGAGATATCCACTAAATGACCTTTGATCCTTGTTTAACAACAGCAACTGGAAGTGCCAGAATTACCATCCCTAAGCAATGTGGTCACATAATACCATGCTTTATAACTGCATCATTTAGCAATGGAAATTACAGTTTCATTAACTGAGAAGTATTGCACTTAAGTTATATTTGTTTATTTTCTGGGTGATTCAACTATAAATGTATAACATTTATACATTATACGTTATAAATGTATAACACAAAGCTATATATGCACTCATTATTCAACATCTAAATCTCTGTAATTAGGCATTAGGTCTTCTCAAATGTTCCATTGACCAATGTAAGGCAATCTTTTTTAAAATCAGCATTAAAGCCCATGAATAGCCTTGCTACATTGGGCCAGAATCTGCATAAATTCAGCATTTTTTTTTCTTTGTTAGGAACCAGATGTATACAGGAATCATTAACTTGAGGCATTGGCCATTAATATTGTTAGCTTTAAAAGGAAATTGAACAAAATCACAGAAAGTAGTTCTTACGTTTTAACATTGTTCCCATGTAGCAGGCATTTGTAGACAATTTGCCACAGTCCAAGTATAATACACTTCAAGATGACAGAATTTCTGTGAATTTAGGTAATGCTCTTTAAAGTTATCCAAATTAATACTCATCACCACGGATTAATTATATTCTGTACAGAGAACAATGTAAAACATATATTTTAAATATTCCCAGCAGCTTCCTAGAATCACTTCTTCTCCTAGTATTTTGAGAGATCTGTTCACTGTCTTCATACGATCTGTGATGTTATATACAGCTTGACCAGTCTACAATTTTCTATGTTAAGAGACCCAAATGCTCTAATCTTTCATAATGAGGGAGATATTCAAGGTTGCTAGGCATTTTGTTTTCCTGTTCTGAATTTAGCTTTCACTATGTTGAATAATTTGGTAATAATCTGTGGCCAAATTGCTGGTGTTGTGTTGGCAACTAATAAGAATAAGGATGAACATTGTGTTTTTTAGGATCTTATGCTAGTTTATTTTTTCAGGCATCCAAAACTGAGTGTTTTCACCGAATTGTTCAAACAATGATATGTCCCCCACAAAGGCCAGTGTCTTCTAGACATCGTTTTGATTATAGCTCAACTGGAATATAGTTAAAGAAGAAATCGGGGGGGGGGGGGAAGCTGAATTAATAATCTTCCAGCAAAAGGTTTCTTTGGGGCAATCCTCACTCAGTGAGCCTTGCCTATATTTTTGGGTTCAAGATCTTACTGGCATCTGTGGAACTTGATTAGTTAGATTGACATTGTAGATTTTGTTTGGAATTCTATGTGTGCTGGTTGTTCTCTTCCTAAATTCTCCTCATTTATCTTTACTCACTTAATCAACCTTTTAATCTCAATCATCCAGTGCTGGTTCAGTGTATTCTTTAAAAAAGAATTTTTTCTTCTTAATTTTAATGCAAAAATATTATTAATTATTACTAGTAATCCCATTACTCCATTTCATTCTTACAACAGATGCTTGAAATCTCTACTTTTTCTAAATGACATTATTCTATTAATATATATTTATACTATCTATCTGCACTCATCAGATTGTGAGGAAGCAATGTAAAATTAAGAAGTAGTCATGGAACAAGATGTTAATCAGAACCAAAAATGGAAGCCAGAGGCAAGCCAGAAACCAAAGATCAAGAGATCTTATTCCAGAAAAAAGTAACAGGAAGTCTTCCTAATTTATCTCTCTGAGTGCTGTTTTTTTAAAGACACAATATTCATTTTGAATTCAGTATATATCACTTCATCTACTTTGATATTTCTATGTGGAAAAACAACTGAAAGTTCAAAATATATAACAGCTTTAATCTGGAAGCTACTATGAAGTATGTTACTTACTCCAGAATAAAATGGTTCACCAGACACACAGATGACATCTTGTTCTTGAATTGTCAAAATATCTTTGGCTAAGTGCAGCCGCACTTTGAAAGGCTCCTGATTACCATCCTGTAGCAAACAAATCCCTGTCTTTGACTTTAAAAGGCGGAAGAAGAAGAAAGTTTTATTAGTTGTCAAATTGTTTATGGACTATTTATTCTAAGGATCAAAAAAGTTTCCTTTAGTTTTTAACTGGAATATTCAGTAAAACCAATAAAATAAGGTATATCTCAAATGATCCATTAAAATTCTCCCAATTATCAGACGTAAGTAAAAAATATTGAAACATGCAAGGCAAAAATTACTAATAGAAATTTGGAAACTCAGACATTAATAACATTTCAATATTGAAAGTATCTGTACTTTGTATATGGATGGAGGACTAAAACTTCTAAAATGTGATCATAAACTAAAAAACATTTTTGCAATAGCAGGGCTTATGTTTCAGTATCCTACATAGGCAAATAAAATACAACTTGCACATTATTTGATAGAATTGCACACTGATACTTTTTTGTTAAAGTTACAGCATTTGATTTATTTAACTACTGGTAAATTTACTAGGATTACTCAACAGCCAAGATCTCAACTGGGATCACAGAAAGACAATGAAAAGTTCCATTAATCATCACTCTGTTTTATTATAATAATCCAGTAAATAACTCTTCAATGTACAAATACAAATTCAATACAAGTGCTTTTCAGATTGTAGCCTAGATTTGTGAATTTATCAATTAATTAAAATTAATCCACAGCTATTTTGAAAAGACCAAGGTCACTATAGCTATTAGAAATGTTGCATCACCCACAACAGACTTTCTACTTCAAAACTTTTCTAACTTCTTTTTCTAAAAAAAATTAATTGATTAATTATTTTGCTGATTCACCTTCCTTTCATTGGAATTTAAGGACATGCAGAATGTTCTGAATGGACAGTTTATATGCTTGGAGAGTGCAATGATCTCTGACTTCATCCTCTTTTTCCTATTTTGAATTTCTGAAGTAGTATTGACACATGGATAGTTATTCTACTTCAGTTATTCTCTACATTTTATTACCCAAAACAGATATCTCCAACATCTAACAATCTCTTTGTAGAGTAGCCAGGTGCATACGTCTCCAAATATGGAAATCCCATCGGAAACGAACTGTTTCTTGAAACAAGGAACAAGTTTGTAAGCCTGTTCAGTACATTATAGACTCGAATACCCTTCCTCAACCAGACAAGTCTTCAGATGTACTGGTTTTAAATACAAGGAAGAATAGTCCAAAACCCCTGGAGGGCTGTTATAAAATCTGCTGTCATTATGTCAGCCAAGAAATGTTAAATATTAAGAGTAAATATTACATTTCATCCATTCCAACAAACTCATGTCCAAGCATTATGTGCAGCCTGGAATCAATAGTATGTCCTCAATTTTAGAATTTTATGATTGGCTCTGGTTCTTCACACCCCTCTCTCTAAATTTTCTTGCTTCTTTGCATTTGAACTTGATGATAGCAGCTTAGAAAACAAATATGATTTTTGGAAGATAGAAAAAAAACAGGAATGATGGAAAACAAATACAGGGTGACATTTTAATTCTATTAATCTCCACCAAATAAGGTTAGCTGGATGGCAGAAATGTGTGTCTATCTGTATATTGGAAGAACAGTTCCTAATTCATTTGATGGTTTCCTGGCACAACATTTCTTGGAAAAAAATGTGCATAGTTAAGTTGTGTTATTTGACTCTATATTTGTCTCCTGGCTAATTACCTTATAAACTCTCCCAAGCAGCTTGATGAAAAAAGCTAGGGGCAAGAATTAAATAACATCTAACTATACAGTAGGCCTAATTAAGCATCACAGTGAAATTAAAATAAGAGTGAGCAGTGGGATGCACATAGGCAAAACCTATTCAGAATGAATAAAGAAATTAAGCATGAGAAAAGCAAAAACAAAACATATCCCAGCAAACACACACAACCAATTCAGTGATATGAACCCCCTAGTATTATTTCACAGTACAATAGTTGTGGCTATACAATACATCCTAGTATTCCAGTTCTGACTCTAAAAAGCAGTGATTTATATAAATAAGACAAGTTTTAGCCTTTAGAATGAATAGAATTCTAATTTTATTTCAGATCTACAATCATTCATGTCGATGTAATATATATACATATTACGCATGAAGCTTATAGCAATAGCAATAGCAGTTAGACTTATATACCGCTTCATAGGGCTTTCAGCCCTCTCTAAGCGGTTTACAGAGTCAGCATATCGCCCCCACCCACAATCTGGGTCCTCATTTTACCCACCTCGGAAGGATGGAAGGCTGAGTCAACCCTGAGCCAGTGAGATTTGAACCGCTGAACTGCTGAACTAGCCTGCAGTAGTGGCCTGCAGTACTGCACTCTAACCACTGCGCCACCTCGGCTCTTGATCTCGACATTTAATTATCAGTAGCATCAATTTTTTATCCCACTTTGGCTATTCAACATTGCAATACACCCTACTTCAGGGATGTTTAGAAGAACACATCCTAGGCTTTTGTCTCTTTTCACTTTTTATTAGTAGCTTGCTAATTTAAAACTGTTTGTAATTATCTGAATAGTTTCTAATCATTTTACTCCATTCTTATTCAAATTTATCCATTATTCTAAGTCTACTTCCTTTTACTTACACTTTCAAACTAGAGAGATATGGAGGTTGTATTACACCATGTCCTCAAGTATACAATTTTATGAGTTCTATCCTTTATTGTAGATCAAAACGGATTTCTCTATAGACATACCTCATACATAAGAGCATGACCTAATATAATACCTGTATTTCCAGTCTCAGAGTTTAAGAAAAAAGAGTATGCTAAAATATCGAGTATTTTAAAGGTGGCCCCTATATATTCCACCCACCAACACTCCTGAGCTCCAGAGCCTGAAGACCATCTAAAACTAATGTACTGCATATAATCACATAAAAAATGCAATGACCCATGAGTTCAATTCCCCATAGAGGGAACTGACAGATGAGCCTCAAATAAATTAAAGCTCATATTATTTTGTTTTGGGTTAATGCTAATAAATTCATTAGTAGTCATACAACACTTTTTTCAAAAAAATTCTAGCGTTATTTATAATTAGTTCTTAATGATGCTAGAATATGGAAAACAAAGGAAGTGGAAGATTAGGAGATAAATGTAGAAAAAGCTAGGTAAAGAAAATGAAAAATAAAGACTTTGCATACCACATTCATAGTCCAATGGTCAGCATGGAATTAAAGGGGACAAAAAGAATGCATGCATAAACGTGTCCATGAACACATAAAGAGTTTTTTTATGGTTCATTGTTTTCTTAGATATACATGGTTATAATTGTAGATATGATATTAAGTGAAGTGTAGCCCTATTAAAATCATCTTTGCATTTGTATGAAGCTTGATTTTGTAAACACAAAACATTCAAAGAATGGAAGTTTGAGAAGTCGCCTGTCCCTACCCTGGCTATGAAGCTGATAAAGTTTTGCTTTATTTTTAAATATGCAAACCTCCATTTAATAAATCATATAATCCACACAGTTTATCATGAGAGTAAACGAGATAAAATAAGCACATATGTACATGCTTAAGTTAGAAAAATTTGCACCTCTTCACATGCAGTCTTGAAATCCATGTGCTATGGCACCAAGAGATAATTGTCTAAAGGAAGGAAAAAAAGATATTTAATTAAAAAAAAATTAACACAACAAAGGAGAAAGATGCCCAAATTTAAGGTATTCTAAGTTATACATTAAATACCATTTAAGGCTATCTAAATGTCTATTCTCAATCATCTAGGTCATGGTTGTCCCAAAGATGCTTTTCAAAAGGCCACTGGACTTTCTTGTTTTTTTCCTTGAAAACATTTTGCTTCTTCAGTTCTGGATGAGCTTCTTGGATAAGAAGCAAAATGTTTTCAAGGGGAAAAAAAACAAGAAAATCCAACTGCCGTTTGAAAAGCACCTTTGGGTGAAGGCTAGCTAATTTAAAACTACCTACAAATGAATTTGCATATGAAATATCATCCCACATTCTAATTTGGCTTATAAATGTAAGTTCACTGGCTTATTCTACTTCAGTACAAAATAATTTTTAACAATGTAAATTCCTAGATGAAAATCTGAAATATTAGTAAAAAACTAAATGGTATTGAAAAAGGAAGAAAGAAAAGGATAAGAAATAATATTTTTTTGTGTATCTGTGTACTGTGAGGAAGTGGAAAAGCCAAAACAGTGCATCATCCCATCTGCATACTTAGAGAAAAAGAGTGAGGTTTATGTTTATGGAAATACCTGCCACATTATTTAATTTTGCGTGCAGTTTTCACAATCAAGAAACAGTGTGAGCATATAAAACCGCCAAACATGGCTAACAAATAAACCCTTTGTATTATTATTTTGATTTGATTCATTGTTTTTAATGGTTTTAACTGGTTGCTTATTGTACACCACCCATAGTTACATTTGTGAGACAGGTGGTTATAAACGTCTAAAAAATAAATCAAAATACTATGAAGTAGGTGTGTAAATGATAACACCACCAAACAAATTTATTGAGGAAAAAATTTATATCATGAAATAAAGTGTGTCATTCAAACAGTTGAGGCTATTCAAAGATTGTATCCAGAAATGAATTAATCTGTAAAGTTCCTTTGGTTGCAGTTTTCTGAAGCTGGGCCCTGCTTTCTAACTGAAATTTCATCAGATTCACAGAGGAATTTCCTGTACTTTTCAACCAGTGACTTTAGTTTTTAGGATCAGGAACACATCTATCATTTTCCTATTCTAAATTGAAATTCACTATTACGTTATTTATATTTAATTAGAAATGGAAATAATGCAACTTTAAACAAAATCAAACTAATAATACGAATACATTATATTTCAGAGTATCAGTTTAACAAATATTGAACTACTTTACTTATCAATCTTTTACTTTTTAACTATATACACTCATATACACTAAAGTACAATACTTTGAATAAAATATAAATCACATGGTAGAAAGCTTGCTTCTGGGCTAAAAACATCCAAAAAGGAATGTACACCAGATTACTACATTAATGTGGTAGCTAAAACACACAATGCACAGTGCATCTTCCAAAGTCTACACATTTTGCAGACACTCATTATTTTGCATACATACAAGTGTAAAATTTTGAAGCTATGGCATAAAAAAATACTACATTAAAATATATGCAAAATATATGCCCCAGTCATACAGGTAGTCCTTACTTAATGACCACTTGTTCAGTGACCATTTTAATATAAGTGCTAAACCACAAATGGTCCTTCATTAATGCAACTGCTGAACAACTGTGGCAGAATACCAATGTTCATGTGATTACAATCTGGCCATCTGGTGACCACCTTAAAATTACGATGTCACAGCATCCTGCAGTGACATCATAATTTCTGATCGCCTTTTCTGACCTTCATTGCCAGCTTCCAAAAAGCAAAATATTTGGGGAATCAGAAGGAGGTAGGAAATTATGACTATGTGACCCTGTGTTTAATGGTATTGTAGAATTTGCTTAATAACAGCAACTGGAAATGCAGGAGCTGCTGTCACTAAGCAGCACAGTCGCATAATGCTGTGTTTTTATGATCCTGTAATTTAGTAACCAAAATTATAAAGATTACGTTGGACTACCTGTAATATTATTTTATTTGGTATCTTTAATACAGATTGAACTATATTTTTGTCAGGCAATAATATTCACTAACTGAACTTACTTTAAAAAGGTCTTTATTATTACCTGTTAATACTGACAAGAAATAAAAGTTGGAAGACAGAATAATCCATCAGTCTGAAAATAAAATTAAGTCATATAATCTGACCTTTAACTTTTCCAAGCTCCCTCTTTTAATAAAAGAACTAAGAAAAAACAGAAAAAAGATTCCAATATGACTTACACATTGCTATTTCAGTTTCATTTTCTTAGCTATCACTACTGTGTACAAATTCTATTTCTTCCAAGATGGAAAGTTCATTTTTATCCTCTTGGTAGACTTCCAATCAGAAAAATAAAGGTTTACTCAGATTGAGTCAAACTTTCTGCTCAAATAAATCCTCTCTGGTGAGGAGTTATACTGTGATACTGGAGATAAAAAAAATTATGTTATAAGTTGTTAGAAAACATTTGGGAGAATCAAAGGTCAGCAATATAAGAGCACTCTGTCTTGTGGCATTTATTATTCTAAAATAAAATATTTCATTCGCAAGTTGTTTTTTCCAAGTTCAATTTTTCAGACCATCAAAGGTATTCTCCCAACTATAGTGCAATAACCTGCTATCAGTACAACCACCAACAACAAAAACTGAACAGTACTAGAAGAACATTTGCAAGAAAGAAAACAAACATATCAGTGCAAATTGGGTGCGGGATCTGGAGCAGATCCCAGAAATCTCCCAGAACAGGAACCAGTCACCATCACAGTAGCAGAAGTACAACAGTGAGTCACAAACTTGAAGAACTGGACATTACCTGACTAGCACGTGATCCAGACCTACTGGCTAACAGCAGTACATGAACAGGTGGCAGCACAGATGAACCAACTCCTTGTTGCAGGCTTTCACCAGATTGGCTAACACAAAGAAGGATAGTGCTGATCATAAGAGATGATCATAAGGGAATCCCCACCATCCAACTACTGATAATAACCTGGTTCTCCACCATAGAGTCCTATCAGCACTAAAGCTACCAAGTTACAAGAACATATGGGCCAGCACATGAACCCAAATCAGAAGTGCAAAGGGAAGCCAAAGGGTCAGAACAATTATATCACCTTCCCAAAATGTGCACCTATTTATTTCTTATATTTTAAAAATATTTTAGCCATTTATTATTTTAAATAATCATTTAGTGTTGTGGAACACCAAGAGAAATAGCCAAAACCAACACTATACTTTTGTGTACCAGGTAGCTATTCAAAAAGCAATACTGTATGGCAGTTTTACAATTACACCTCACATATTTTAATTATGCTTGGATAGAGATTGTTCAGAAAAGCCTACATATTACACTTGTATAGCAACAGCTTTCAAAGCCAAGAATATAAAAATGGTTCATGCAAAAATATTCACATTGAGGACATATTGCTGACTACTGGGGGTTAGTTGTGAAATAATATTTTACTGCAACTATCTAAGGTCAATTGTGTCTGCTGTTTTATTAGTTAATGAACTCTCCAAATTTTTATGGTTTGGTGGAATTATTTTTTAAACAGGTGAGTCACAATATGTAGGAATGTGGAAAAATTGACTCCTTTCTCAGCCCCAACTTAGTACCAACTTTCAAGTTGTCAAAAGGGGAATATTACAAATGGAATATACAAAATTTGAGATTTTTGATGCAGAAGATTTTTTTAGATAGTGGTGGCGGCATATGGCAATTCCTAAATAAAAATAAACTGCTGTATTCTCATTTTTCTTCTATCTTCCATCTGACAGACACTCAAGTTTTCAAGAATAGCAGATTCATTTAAACTAATCTCAGATGGGATGTGCAAATAAACAACACCGAATAGGCAGCTTGGTAATTATACTTGACAGTCCCTTGGCAGACAACCCTTTTATGTAACACTGAAAAAGCATTTTAAAAAACACAATTAAATCATTTTTGTTGCAAAGGGAAATCAATGGTATTCTACTGTGTGCTCCTGAAAGCAAACCTTTTTAAAATTATTATTCGCTAATATAAATAGGCTTGTATCTAGATTTCTATAAAGGTCAAAGTTTCTTCTAGTCAAAAGGAGACCTGGGACCAGATTGAAGTTTCCCAGTGGAGGAAAGGATGAGATTCTGTGGCTCCTTCTTCCTCCTATGGCAGTGATGGCTAACCTTTTTTTCGTCATGTGCCAAAAGCATGTACATGTGCGACAGTTTCCATGCGTGCGCCCACACCAATAATGTAATGCATGTGCAACACATGCCCCATATTCCCCAGTCTCTGAGCATGCATGCATGACGCCCCTGTGCTCACCCTGCCCCCCACGGATGCTCTCACGATACCCCCACCTGCACCCCATTTTGGGTCTAGTAGACCTCTCTGCAGCCTCCTGGGACCAAAAATGGGCCACTGGTAGATGCACCACGCCCCCCCCCACTCCCCATGTATGTGGGGCAGAGACCCAAAAATCAGATGGCCGGCAGGAGGCGTACATGCATGCAGAGTGGAGCTGAGCTGGGGCAACAACTCACGTACCCGCAGTGAGGGCTCTGCATGCCTCCTGTGGCACATGTGCCATAGATTCGCCATCATGGTCCTATGGGTTACTCCAGTACCAATTTCCACACTGTTCAAATGTCTTCTAGACATTTGGAAAAGCAGCATCTACATTATATAGCAAAGAAATGCCTTGTGTGCAACAGTGTGTCATTAAGATGATGTAGTTATAGGTACATTCCTAAATTGAATTTGACCTTAAAACTGCTTTTCTATGAAGGTCATGTTACTTAAAAGCAGGATAATGTATCAACTTTATGTTGGTGAAGTTGCATTGCTGTTGTTGTTTACTGCATATTGGCTATACCAGAAATCTTAGATGCAGTTCTAAGGGTTCTTTCCATTACTGCACAAGAAAACAGCACAAAAGAACTTGCCCAACAGATTAATGCTTTTCACATATTCCCATTTGTAAATTGGAGCATAATACAAATGAAATACTGTCAATGGTTAAACCTTGTCAGCACAACCCAAACAAGCAAAACTAATTCTGAATTTTCAGAACCTCAAAGGGCGAATTGAGTTATTGAATAACATATATATTATTAACAGAGGCTAAGGAAATGAGACTGAACTGAATACTTGACAGAAATATATTCTTGTAAAAAGACTAGTAGACTACATATAGACAATTTTCATTGTTTTTAAAACCTTAAAATGCAAAAATACAAGCAGTCTGCAATCTATTTTGTGTTATATTCACAGTATGCCTAGAAATAGTGCAATATATCTCATAGAATGGTTCACAAGCAGTTTTGCCAAGCCTTTGTTTTTGCGGTCAGTGTCATCTCTATTATTTTCAGCCTTTCTATCACCACTGCTCAGGTTTTCTGCTTCTTATTTGTATGGCCTGGCATAGTGGCTCAGTGGACATGGCTAAAAGAGCATTTTTGCTGCTGCTATTACTGCTGTCACAGCTTTTTTTATTGTTACCATCTTTGGTTTGTCCTCAGTCTGTTTGTTTTCTGATGTTTCTCTTCTGTTAAATGCCAGATTGGTGGTAAAATAGATCCTGAAAGACTTGATCCAGAATAAAAGGGGTGTGTGTGCGTGTGTGTGTGAGAGAGAGAGAAAGAGAGAGAGAGAGAGACAGAGACAGACAGACAGACAGATCATTGGGAAAGATGAGTAGTACCATCTGGTCTCAGATTCTCCCAAGGTTTCTTTGTTCAGAAGTAGAGATATAAAGGGTATGGAGACACAGGATACAAGTAGTAATTTGTCTCACCAAAACCAAGATTTCTAAATTTATGTGATTCAAATTGGGTGACTGAAACAGAATCAGGATCCTGATAGTATAGAATGACCAGTGGCCTCTCTAACTAAGCTGAGAAGGACCCTACAATTGTTTTATGTGAGTGCTTAAATATATTTGTTGACACTGTTTTTAAGAAGAATCTCAGAAGGTCATGTCCCCCAACATTAGTCATAAATTTATCTCAAATAATATCTTCCCCCAATTGTTACACATTTAATGTGATTTTCTGCACTGGTGAAGGTGCTCCTTAAGTGAAGTAATCAGTTTTGGTTCATTTGCCATGGATGGATCATCAGCTCGGTAGCTACAGTAGATAAATATTTCTTTCTTCTGCAGAAGTTACAGGGTTGGTTTTCCAGGCCTGGCTACAAAGACTTATTGCTTTGATGGGGGAAAGAGGAAATTTCAAAATTCAATGTAGGAAAGCTTGCTGATATGCCAGACCTTGCAATTAAGGCATTGCTGATTTACTTGAATATCAAGCTATCCTGGGCAATTAATCAATTGGCTTCTAAAGATATTATGTCAGCTCACTGGTGATAGGTCCACTGAAGAACTACAGGAAATGAAGAGTGCACATTTTTGGTTTTATACTGCTGGCATAAAACCAAAAGCAGAAATGAACACATAGAGCAACCTATGCCATGGCAGTGAAGGAACAGCAAAATATTTTCCCCCTCTTCCCCTGTTTTTCATAGAAAATCATCCAAGCAGGTTTTTCCAGGTAGTTCAAAGGCTGACATACACTTTTAAGAGTCCTTGAACTGTTGAAAATGTCACAAAGGTACTGGATGAATTATGGCCATAACCTAAGGTGACCAGATTTTCAGATTGGTAAAGAGGGACACCATTGACCGGGGGGGGGGGGGGGGGGGCCTTGATTAAAAAAANGCACTGCAGATTTTTGGAACCTCTTCTATAGAAGAGGTTAGAACTGGCAGGAACCCATCCCTGGGTTGGGGACCCCTGATCTAGGAGTTTTTTTGTGGTGAGACTGGTCTATCAGGACAACCTAGTCTATCCAACTATGGGATGGAAGCATGCTGCTTCCACTTTTGCCTTTCAGCCCCAATCCAGGAGCCTTTGCAGGCAGTCGCTTTTGTGACAAGCTATTTTTGTGTTAGATTTATATTTCACCCTTTATTTGTTTGTCAGTAAAATATAAATTCAACCCTGATCTAGGAGTTTAGTGGAGAATTTCACAAATATCATGTATTTCTTGGGCCCATTTGCCACTGTAGATCATGACCAAAGAGTGGAGTGGGACAATCAGCATTTTTTTTCCTGTGAGCTGCTCTTCTCTGGAACCATCTGACTCCCACTCTGCTGCCTTCTAGAATCTTGCAAAAACTTGCCTTTTCCAGAAGGCCTTTGAGGTTTGCTTAGAAGAGCAATTATCACCAGGATGCTTTGATTCCTCTTCGTTCCATTATTACTAATTGTTGTTACTAGAAATTATAATGAGATGCAGTGCTGACCACCACCTTGGCTGGCTCCCAAAAAAAGATTGGACCAATTCATGGACATCATGGGGATCAATGGCTTGATGACAGTATGATTGCCTCTGGAGACCATTTGCCAGGGCATGATGGGTTTCCTAGTGCAAGTGGTTAGACACTCTGAGCACAGATTCTGATCCAGCAGGGCATGCTTATGTTCTTACGCTTTTGTATTTGCAAATTATCTTGTATCCATCCGGACTAAGATAAATGTCATAACTCAAAGGAATGAAGAAACAAATAAATATTCTAACAGCAAAACAAAGGCGCAAGAAATCCCAATGTAGTCGTATAAAGCAAAAGCTGCTTTCAGAGAGGATGTAGTACTGATCTGAAGCTATGTTCTGCTCACAGGCTGTCAATGCTCTATGTAATAAATCCTGAGCTTTCTCCTATGTTTTGTTGCCAAAAACATCAGCAGAGGGCGTACAAACTTAATGGAGGAAAAAGCCAATGGAAATCAGCCTTACAATAGGAAATGTAATAGGAGAAGTCACTGTACATAGCATAAATGAAATTCTACTTTATCTTGCTTTCTTTATTATTAAAGTATGAATGCATTCCCATATCTGATAAACTCCCTTTGGGCCTGGGGGGATTACACTGAGTTTTGAATCTATCTTCATTTATTTGGTGAGACACAGCTAAATTTGGATGTGCTTTAAAATACATATGTTGAAATAATTATACATGGTAAATAGAGTGACCTATTTATACTGGCTCTGATTCATTGAACAAAGATGCTTCCAATTTGTTGTGGTGAGTTTTTGTTTCCTGGTTTTATTGGCCATGGTTGTGACAGT